ATAGCACCACCTCACCACCACCACTGTCTCATATGCCCTAACCCTACTCCGCTGCTGCCACCACCACCGACAACTTACCACAACCACCATTTCTAACGTCGCCACCATAGCCTCACCAATCGAGGCAAACCAAAAACCATGACAATCTCAAGCACCAACAATATCGCCGTCACCCTTTGCAAAACCAAACATAGACATCAAAAACCATCATCACGTCACGGTGGAGCCTTCTAGTAGCGAAGAGCTCCGTCGACGGAATGCAGCGACCCCAGCTCACAGGGAGAGGACAGAGAGAGAGTGCCGCGGGTAGCGGCTTCACAGTGATGTCTTCCAGTGGCGCCTTCTCGTAGCGACGAGCTCTGTAGCGACTGTGATTCTTTCGATGGCTGCAGCGGGTGTTGCGTGGAGGTGGCTAAGGTCGTGGCGCGGCGATTGCGACGAGAGGAGTGTTAAGAGAGAGACGGGTTTTGGCGGCGAGAGGTGAGTTCGGCCGGCGAGAGGAGAGTTATAGAAAGACGGGTTTGGGGAAATGAGAGGTGGGTGGAGGGAGTTAGGGTTTGGTTTATAATTTAATTTAATCATATATTTTATTTAGTAATAATATATTAATTAATAAAAATATCTGATTTTGGAAATATTAAATTTCTAATTTGATTTTGGAAAGTTTAATACTTAAAGTATGATTTTGTGTAATTACCACTTCTTTTATTATTGTAGGGATGTAAAATGTTTTTCGGAAATTGATGGATTGGAGAAGATAAAAAGAAAAAAGAAAAAACCTCTGAAACCCTAAACATATAAACCCTATTTACAACAGTGGCATTTTTAATTTCACGAATTGTATAGAATAGTTTTGTGATTCCCCACCTGGAATCGTAACTCAGTGTTCATTTTTTTGTTTTGCTCTCTAGAATTTATCTTGGATTGAGATGACTTCACTTTCAGAACTCAACGACGATATAGTTCGCAGCATGTCAATCGGAGCCGTCTTCTCGGATTTTGTTAGTACTCTGCTTTCGATGTTTTTTTCCCTCCCTGAATTTACGTTTCCATTATGCTTAAGCTGTGATTATTCACTTTAAATCTTTGTATTAATTGGAAAATTTGTTTTGCTGCAAACTGGGAATGTGGGTATTATCTGTAAGCACACATATATATGTAATTTGGTAGAATGCTGTTCTGATGAATTTTATTTTTTATGCGATGTTAAATTGAAGTACACTGGAAGGATTTGAGACATTGGTTTAACTCCAGACATGCATGTCTTGTTCAGGGTGGAAAAATAAATTCCATTGATTTTCATAGGACGGCTGATTTATTAGTAACAGCTAGTGACGATGATTCAGTGCGACTTTATGACATCATGAGTGCCAAGTAAGACCTTAACACGCTATAAGTACTCGGAAACCTCATCGAAACACACATCTTCTTTTCCTTGAGGATTGTACCTTTAACGATTTTGTATAAAACTCAGGTTGCTAAAAACAACTTATCACAAGAAGCATGGAGCTGATAGGATATGCTTTACTCACCACCAGAGTTCTGTTATTTGCTCTTCAAGGCATAATTTGGATTCTAACGGAGGTTATTGGCTTTAGCCTGAAATTTATAATTTTTGAAACTACGACATCAAGTTTTTGTCATTTTTCTCTTCGCTTTCTGTTTTTGTTGCAGAAATATTGCGGTATCTATCTATGTATGACAATAGGTGCCTTCGTTACTTTAAGGGTCACAAAGAGAGGTGAGTTCTCATGCCTTACTTGGTTTCTCTTCTATTGAGTGATGATATTAGGAGAGCAAGATTTCTCTGATAAGGAATTCGAACTTGTATTATTTACTAAGGTTAATCTGGAAACGTTTATTTGGACACATTCTTAATGCAGGGAATCCATGCATGCATTTTTTGGACGCATTCGTAGTGCAGGGAATCCATTCATGCATTTTTAAGAAAAAAGTGGTTATAGGTTGAAAATATATTGTGTACTTGTCTCACAAAGTCTTAAGAAGTTTGTTTTCTTTTGCTACTGGCTCTAGCAATTATTGCTTTCGATAGCACTCGGTCAATGCAATTTTCAATCAAAATTTGACAGTAAGTTTTAGGTAGATCATTTACTGTCACCCTGAGAAAATCTTCCTATCTTGTTGCATTCTCATGTTGATTATGGCTTGAATTTTCACACTTACAGAATTAATGTGATCACTAGTAAAATAGGACTCTAAAACTACATCTGGTGCATGTCCTCTGTTGAATGAAGCATCTTCTCTTCAAAGCTGCATGTCTAGAGTTTATTGTGCAGCAGAATTTGCTAAGTAGCATTTGATGCCAACCATTTTATGGGTTTACTAACTTCAATTTGGCTGTAGGGTTGTGTCCCTCTGCATGTCTCCAGTCAACGACAGCTTCATGTCTGGTTCACTTGACCATAGCGTCCGGATATGGGATGTTCGCGTAAATGCTTGTCAGGTTGGGATTTATTTTTATTGATTAAATCTAGCTATTTGCTTGAAGATGATTGGATAAATAATTCTTGCTCGACAGATTATACTAGGCATCACAGTGAGGCTTGTTCTTTTGGGATTTTATAACCTCCAACTTCGATAAGAGAATATTCTTTTAACTGGTGCATAGTGGCAGTTTAGTAAACAAAATGCACCTATATTCTTATGAAAACTGCATGCACACAAAACCACTAAAACACCCCAGTTTTTGCCTTTTTGGCAGTTGCAGACGTGCAGTATTGAATTGACTTTTTTATTTTTTATACAAAATAAAATACACAATTGTGATATGTGCTCACTCTTGTAGTTTTCAGGGAATTTTACATCTACGAGGTAGGCCTACTGTTGCTTATGATCAACAAGGCCTTGTCTTTGCTGTGGCTATGGAAGGAGGTGCCATCAAATTATTTGATTCTAGATCATATGACAAGGTTTGCACTTTTGACAAAGTAGCTTGCTTATAACAAACTGATTCTTCGATCATAATCATCTTCATTTCCATTTAGGGTCCCTTCGACACTTTTCTAGTTGGTGGAGATACTGCCGAGGTCAGTGATATTAAATTCAGCAATGATGGTAAATCAATGCTTTTGACAACAACAAACAACAATATTTACATCCTCGATGCATATGCAGGAGAGAAGGTTAGCCTGAATCTGTCTTCTTGAACTTGTCCATCATGTTGCATAAGATCTTGTAAAATATACTTGGCCATTGAAAATGTAGCTTCTGTAGGGTGTTCATTTTTGTGGCAATATATACCAGTTTAAATGTTCAACTTTCTCTGTTGCAGAAATGTGGGTTTAGTGTGGATCCTTCCACGGATACAACAATAGAGGCAACGTTTACCCCTGATGGTCAATATGTGGTTTCTGGTACCACTTCTTTCCCTTTTGAATATTAATATTAGAGGTAACACATTGGTGATGATATTATTTTGGTAGTTTGATGTTGATGATATGCTATTAGATATCTGTAACAGTAGTTATTGAAGATTGTGGACTATTTCCTTAGGTAAGGTGAGGCAAGCTTTGTTTTCAAATAGCAAGCCATAATTACAGCAACATCTCCAAAATATATAATATAAACCTGCCACTCAGGTCTTAGAATTTTTAGGGATTTTTTACGGCCTCGTGACACTCAATTCTGCTGGTATTTGTTTGACATTGTAATTGAAATTGGTTCTTGGTTTGGTTCCAGGTTCTGGGGATGGAAATCTGCATGCATGGAGAATCGATACACCGGACAAGGTAACCTTTTTGTCCACGTGTCCAGTATGATCTAATCAAACCTTTTTGATGTATGACGATGGACGCTTTTGTGAATATCACACAAATGCTGTCAACAAAGACAGTTTTGCTAAGCCTGTTACACTGCCTGTGACAGAAGTTGTGGACGCTTCTACATCTGTAAATTTGTAATGCTCCTTGCATTCGATTTATATGCTATTAGCAAAACGGAAGTTACAAAAAATCCCTGAGTTCCCATGTCTAGTTCCAAGCTTCTAATGATGCTTAATTCCTTCCCATACATGTAATTGATGCAAACATTTTGCTCATGAACTTAATGATTTACTCGGGTATTGTCCCCAAATATAAATTAAACATGACTAAGAAATCCAGAGAACAGTATGTCCTGGGCCTGAAGTTCTCTCCCTTGCTTTTGGCTTGGTTCCCACTTCTCCCTTCTGTCCTTTCCAAACAGGCATCCAGTAGTGTGCAGCCGCCTAGCCCCCTTCCTTCCCATAATGCATCCACAAATACTAAGTGTATGTTTGGTACACAGTATTGGGCTGGATTGGATAGCGTAAAGAACAAGATTAGCTTCTTTTCCTTTCTTGGTTGTCCAAAACTATCCATTTCTCCCCACCAAACATTCAATATATTATATAAGTTATCAGAGAGGAAGGCAAAGAAGTTGGAACCATGCAGGAAGAAATAGTGTTCCAACGAATTTTCTGTTCAAACCTTTTTTCTTTTCTTTTTTTTTTTTTTATGGTTGGTTGACTGGTTGAGTTGCCTGAGGCCTAAAATTTGGTCCTTGGTTGGTGACAAAATTACTATTGTTTGGGCCATTATTACAGTTAGCCAGAGTATTTATTTGGGGGGGGGGTGAGGGTGAGGGTGAACTACTTCTCCAGTAACTGTTATTAGTCAGACCTGGCTGCATAGAAGTTAGCTAGCATGAAATGAACATTGTTTGTACTTTCTCATTATGACTATTAAGGATCTGAGGGCTCAAAAGTACTTTCTCATTCCTTGGGATTAGTTGTGTAGTTTGATCTTGATAGACTTCCAGTTAGCAAAACACATCTGCCTTAATACCCTTAAGTCGGGCTCTGCGAATTTAGCCAACACCATAGATAAATATTTCCCACATTCTGCCATAACAACCCTAGGTAGCATCTTGATTTATAGCTTAATAGTGTGTACTAGCTAAGCTAAGCTTTAGAAGTTTACTTATAAGTTGTTGCTTATGATTTGGAAGATATTTCTGGCTCTGAACAAATTTTGTTATCCACTTGCAGGTGGCATCCTGGGATAGCTACATAGGTGTCGCATCTTGCCTAAAATGGGCACCTCGTAGAGTCATGTTCGCTGCTGCATCTTCGGTACTCACTTTTTGGATACCAAACGACAGTAAGACAACCGTGGAACCTGGAGCTTTGCATCCGGAAATGGGAGGTCAACCTGAGCAAATTACTCTAAAATGAAATCTTAGTCCTTTGTTTATTCATTTTTTTACTCTTCGGATTTGCATACTCTTCTTCACTGTGCTTTCTCCTCTTCTTCCACTGCGACTGGGGAGTCCTTTTTGGGTGATTTTTCGACTTGATCTCATGATTTTAAAATTTGAAGTCTTAAGAGTCGTTGTTCATACATCAAGAGAAATCCCAGCTCAGTACTTAAGTTGGTTTAGTTAATCTACTCGGATTTGCTGGCAACTTTTTTCATAGACCTCTTTTGGTCAAAGCAAAAATTGGTACCTTCCAAGTTATCATTTTAATGCCTGCTTTATGGTTCAAACAATCGATTGATCGCATTATTGCTATTTTATTTTCTCCTGAGGCGTGTGCAACTCGACAAGAGTCAAGATGGTTGAGTGCATATTGAAGTTCTTATATACTTCTAGTAGATGTTCATTTTACAAACGAATATTTGCCCATTCAGTTTAGATTAAAATAAGATTTTTAGTAAACTTTGATAAAAGTTGATGGAATGTGCATTATTGCAAAGTTGTGTGTTTCATAAAATGTAAGGTTAAAATTTAGTTGTTGATCTTGACTTAAATTTTAGTCAAATTTTTATTTGTATGAAACAGGGGCTCTATGTGGTTATAATGCTTTATTCTTTCGTTCAAGCAATGAAAGAGTGGATTGGAAATAAAGTTAAAGATGAAGGCCTTTAGTTCTCGTCCGTCATTTTTTGTATGGACTATTAAAATCACTACCCAAGAAAGCATGGGATTGATGTCTTAAGCCCGTCAAATCAGTCCAATAATAATCAATATGGATTGGGCTCACGGGTGGGCCATTTGAGTTGAATTGGCTTCATGGGCGGCCAGAAGGGCCCCTAAAGTTTTGATAAGGTAATTAATGCGTTGAATAGGGGTATAATTTGATGAGAAAATTACCTCAAATCATACCTTTTAACTTCAAGCTTCAATGATTAGATGATAAAGTTATTATTTCAAAAATTAGCGGACCTCATCCCACCTGTTTCAACATCAAAATCCATCATAACTTTAATTCATTTTCCTCCCCAATCAAAAGTTCACTTCTCCGACTGCTACATTCCATAGGTGGGCGGTGGTGGCGTGTATGCACAACAGTGATGGGCGCCACTGTGCATCGTAGGAAGCCGCAGATGTGCATGTTGCCACTGCTTCCTACATAGCGCTGTAGCGATTTGTGGTGCGTCACAATTGCAAAGCACCGCATAGTGCCAATTGCGACACAGATGATAGTTATTGGTGCGATAGTGATGGTTGTTGCGATATCTGTTCTGTGTGGTGCGATCTAGATGGTGGTAGTGTTGTGATTGCGGTGGAAAAGATAGGTTAGCGTGGTCGTTGTTTGTTTGTTTGTGGTGGTGGTGTGGTTGTGGTGATAGTGGTGAGATGACGATGGTTGTTGGTGCAGGTGGTGGTTGTGGTCTCTGGATCTGAGGCGGTGGTGGCGTTTTGGGTGGTGCCAATGGTGGTAGAATGCAAGTGAGGCGAGGTGGGAGAGATGGTGGGTAATGTATGACTAGTTAATTGGGTTATTGTGACATGTTAATTTGATAATATGTGACTAATTAATTTAATAATTCGTGATCGATAATTAAGTTGTGATTAATTAATTTGATAATTTGTAACTGGTAAATAAATTGTAACATATAAAAATCTATAATCTGTGACTAAATTTAAAATTGCGGTCCACATTTGTCTCTGTCTTTGTGACATTATGTTATTGTGATTGGTATGTAACCATGACAATGAATTGTATGTTATTGTGATATTTACGTATTTAATTAATGCCACCTGATTTTTGAAAGAATTTCACAAGTTTGTCAAGTTTGAAAGAGCATCTTTAATGGTAGGTTGTTATGTATTTTTATCTAATTTGATGTGAATGCTTGGCTAAACAATTTGCTTATAAGTGAAAAATTTGTTTTAAAAAAGTTAAATAAATTAATTTACTTGTTTAGAAGTAACTTGTACGTTATTAGCCAAAATGTTTTTAACTTCTGTACCGTAAATGACAAAACGAACATATTAAGACATGTTAACTTTTTAAGTGAAATCACGTGCTTTATTCATCCACACACTATACTAAAAATCACATAGTTCCTCCTAAGCAAGGGCATGGGTCGCTTCATTTGCTTCTCGTTTAATGCCAGAGCATAACAATTCTAGGAATGATGTATTAATTTGCCAATGTAGCTAATAATAGTATTTGAAAATAGTATTTTGAAAAAGGGTTATGAAGTCTAAAATAGGGGTTTTCTTACAACATCAATTTCAAAACTATAATCCAAAAAAAAAAAAAAAGTAATTTGTGGCTTATAATGCCTGATTTATAATAGTTATAAGAAACGTTTTTAACTAAACTGTAAAAGTTCAAATTATTTAGACTCACGTGCGGAGTTAACCAATTAAAATTACAAGTCACTTATTAATTATTTCTAAATGATTAAGGCTAATTAATCCAATTAATCCTATGTTCAAACAATCACATAAACATATAGATCAAAAGTAATAAATAATACCAAATATGATCATGGAGAAAAACCTTTTTGCATAAGGATCAAAAAATTCTCTGGCAAATTTCTAATTAAAAATCCACTAGAAAAGTTAACTTACAACTAGTCTAGACATTGCTAAATTTTAGCTGACTCTGGCCACCTACCTTATAAATCACCAAGGAACTCCGTTGATTGTGTGCCCCGTACTTCTCAAAAGTCTAAGCAACTTTTCTCCCCTGTGAATCTCCAAGAACAAATCTCGTTCTTCCGCGTCAGAACTCCAAGAGCTTCTTCTCCAAAATTTAGAACTCTGAAGGCATATTGGTGAAGGTCGAGTTAGGTATTTGATCAAATATTTGGTTGAATGTGGAGGATTATGGCTAGATATATGGTTGGGATGAATTTATGAATAATCAATAAGGGGTTGAATCAAGAGATCTTTGGATGTGTTGTTCCATCTTCAATGATATGATCTCTATAATGAGAATGATTAACAGGCCTTTGGGACGATCTAGGGCTTGTAGATTCATAATGGGAAGTGTTTGGGAGTGAAATATGACTCAAAAATCATGAAATAGGGTTTTACCACGTAATAGGGCATCTCAAGTGCCAATAGGGCGCCAAGCGAGTGCCAGGTACTGTTGAGAGTCAAGGTGCCCAGTTGTCAATGTTTTCATCATAACTTTTTACTTCAATGTCTGATTAAGACGATTCAAGGTGTGTTGAAAAACTAACTAAAAGGGCTCCAATTCATCTTGTAGACTTGTCCAAATTCCATTTTTTTCTATGTGAAAAATATATCTTAGCTTGTGGCTGAGAATTTGGAGCATGATTTGTGCAACACTTTTACACTTATTTGGCTTTTAATTGCATTCCAATGATCATATGTGAGCTTCTTGAATTCCTTCAAGACATATACTACCAATTGCAACTCTTTTGACTTTAATTACAATTCAATTAACCTAGTTTTGGATACAGATAAAGCCAATGACAATTAGGACTCTAACAAACTCTCCCTTTGATATTTCGTAACAAAATCTTTTTATTTCAAAGTCAAAATTGACACTCCTAACAACAAACTATCCAATGACTTAAATTCCAAAATTTACTTCAACGTCTTGTCAATCCATTTCTTGAAACGCATGGAAACAACAATACCACGTAAAAAGTAAGAGGAAATTACGATAACAAAAAATAATTAGGTTATATAAAACAACATAAGTAAAATATGTGTAAGACCACAGAATATTAATATTAACAAAATGCAAAACACAATATCAGTATTAAAATTCTAACCAAAATTAACCATAACTCACCCCAAGTCAAATATCAATAAAAAATTTTAAATTTCTCAAATTTCTTCCCCTAACTCATATACTCAAATCTCTGAAATAAATATTAATATCTCCCCTAATTTGTCACGAATAACAAAGGAAAAGACAAGTAATAAGCACGAATAACATAGAGAGATATGAATGAGTTAAAAAAATATGAACATGTACAATTATACAAAATTATGCAAAACATATGATGGAATAATATTTCTTTTTCTTTTTGAGACACTGTTTTTATTTTTCATGGATTTTGAATATATCTTCATGAATAGTTATATGCTTACTTATACATGTATGATTCATAAAAAATAATTTTTTTCCACATAACTTATTTTAAACATAAATAGAGTAGATTGTATAAGCTACACATGAAAAGTGTCACTAAAATAATGAGAAATGACATGCAAAGAATCATTAGTAAATGAATGTATTTCTCGAAGTAAAAAGTCAAACACAATGCTACTAGGACCTTTTAAATGAAAAGTAATCAGAACAATCGAAAAATCGACTGTTGCGGATGAACTGGACATCCGGATGGACCGACATCTTCGGCTCTTCTCATTTGATTGTTTGAAACAATGTAAGCTTATATATGACCTTTTTACTTGATTTTTCAAGGTTTCTAGTAGTTTTGAAAATTAAATTGAAATTATTACTTTTAAAAAATAAATTTTGTGTAAACTTTTTACGAAATAGATCGTTACTTGAGCTTCTAATGAGCCATTACTAAGGATTAAAGTATTTTACATTTACAAATGAACTCAAACATCTAGTTCTAATATCTTCAATTGATTTGGCACGAGTGCTCGATTTGTTGCTCAATTTTCAATTGACGCGAGTGCTCGATTTGTCTCCGATTGTAAATGCTCGAATTCATCTTAAATTTTCTTGATCATCAACTGCAAGTTTTTTGATAGCAATTGTTTCGTTTCCAATTTGATCAACATGTAACAATAAAGATTTGAATACAAATGTTAGAGATAAAACTACTTTGTTTGTTATAATTAAAATATAAGATCAATCATAGGTCAATAGTGTGTAGTGTAAATAATACATGCAATAACCTATACCAAGTACTCCAAACAAGTTCTAAAAAAAATTAATGAAGATTTATTCAGCATCACAAACTTTACAAGGACTTGTTTACAAAA